GGTGTGATGAAGAGAGAAAAAGGAGTTGGATGGTGGTGGGGAGAGAAAGTGGGAGATTTTTCAAGGTTTGGATGATGAGGTTATTAAAAAAAAAAAAATGATTAATATTTGTCACTCGGACAAGGTTTGGATGATGAGGTTATTAAAAAAAAAAAAAGATTAATATTTGTCACTCGGATTATGAGCAGGGTTTAAATGTTATTTTTTGTTGAACAATGATCTAATACAACGGTTGTATCATAATATAATGCAACGACACTTCTAGAAAATCATGTTTGTGGTATTTGTATGACCCCAAATTTTGCACACACACTATCTTTATCTCAATAATCAAGCCAAAAAAAAAAAAGTTTAATTTGAACCTTAGATATGGTCAAAATGAGTTCCCTCCAAAAATGAATCTAAACCATTCATTTTGTGAATTTCAAGATCTTAGCCTTTATAAACTCAAAAATCATTTTTTTTTAATTTTTTAACATTGTTCATCTAATGATAATAAAGCCATAAAAAAAATTGAAAATGAAAAAATCCTTATAGGACCTAGATCTAAGCAACTACCCAAAATGAACGGCTAATGTTAATTGGGCTAAAAAAGGTATTTCCTACATTGTGTTTTTAAATTTTTTTTTTCTAATTATTCATTAGAATAAAAAAGTATATATTTCAAACTTTGAATTAAACAAGATGATTTTTTAAGGTTTGTTGCATCATAGCATGAAATCTTTGCTCTATTTTGTTTTAATTTGAAGGAGATCCGTGGTTTTCTACCGACCCTAGGACTTATTTAGGTTCTTCATAAGACTGCATAGCATGCTCTTGTTGGAGCATATTGTACAATTACTCTCTCGGTAAGAGATTTTTTTTGTTTCAATCTTAAATTTTGAGATCCACTTAAAAATTACCAAATAATTTATTTTTAAAATAAAACAAAGGTATTTAAATATTTAAACAGTTAGATTTGACTATTCATAAATTAGACAATCTTTTTCAAACTTATGAACATTTATCTCGAGCACAAATCGAGTGTATTTCAAATATTCTAATGAAGTTGATCGTTAGACAACACGTTACATCTTCAAAATTTGGGGGCCTAGAAATTTTCCTAAATTGGCTTTTACATGAGGGTGTCAATGGACAAAATGCTCCCTCATGAGCATAAAATCTTTGGACTTACTACAATTTAATTTTCCGTCGAAGTGGACTGCACATCTACTCCTTTATCTCTGTTTCCCATAGTCATAAATCGAATGGTAGATAATGCCCAAATAGAATATCGGTAAGCGGTGCGGTTGGTGAAATAATATCCAAATAGAAAGCGGTGTAGTCGGTCAAATACATAATGAACAGTATTATCGGCAGCTTCGCTTTTTCATTGCCAAACATGTGAAAATTACCAGCATCACAATTAATCAAATAGGGTTTTAGGTTTTATCCTACCAATTTTCACCAACATTCTACAATCCAGGAAGTCAGAAGCAGATGTGATTTCCAGGACATTACAGTTTATCAAACGCCACTTTAAAAGTAAGTGAATGGGATCATTTATCTTTAGTATAAGGTGACCATTCGATATGAAATCTGATAGCTTGGGTGTGCTACAATGTTCGAAAACTTTTTTTTTGAACTTTGTTCTTTGTCAATGAAATAAATGTAACCACCAATTTCACATACAATAGTCAAGATTCATTCTTACTAGAACATTAAAACCTCTTCTAGTTATTTCATTCGAATTTCTTCTCTCTCTTCTGATTTTTATACGTAGTGCGGGGGTTTTGAATCATTAAGCAACTTCATATGCATGGATTAGTGGCACAGGTTTTATAAAAAAAATTCCTCTCAAATATTTATGAGCATGTATTTATGCTCATGTGAGAGCCTATTGTAAGATCTCTCTCTTGTAAAAGAGTAACTTGGAAGATTTTTTTTCCGTATGCAATTTTGAAATCCACTTAAGAATCACTACTTGATTATTTGAAACAAAACATAGATTTTGTAATCTTCAACACTTATTTGTCACCCTTCAAAACTTGGATAGTCCTTATTTTTAATATCTAGGTTTGAAGAGGTTGCATACCGGAAATTTGATATCCTAGAGATACTTTTGCTGGGTTTTTATATGTGGAAATAAACAGACATTATGCTTTTGCAAGAGCATAGAACCTTTTGACTTGTAAATCCTTCATTCAACAAAAACCTATTTTCTAAAAGGAAAAAGTTTATATTGAGCCGAGGCTCTAATTAGAGCCCACCTCAAAAATTCACTAGAAAAAGTTGTTTTGATGCCCAAATATCGTCAAATTGATCATCTCAACATCAAGATGCATCAACATGAGAAAAAAATGGATTTCAAGTTTTAGAAATAGTGCATCTTGTAACGCTTTTTTAAACCGTCAATTTTCAAGATTATTAAGTTTTCATCGATCTACTCGATATACACTATTGTTTAATCTTTAAATTTTATAATTTAAGATGAAAATATATTTTAAGGCTATGATAAAGATTTCCAATATTGAAAGCACATTTCTCGATATTATTTGAAAGTAAGCTTTAGTTTGATTGTTTAGAGCCCCGGCTCTATACAAACCACACCTTTTTCAAAATGGGGCAGTAATGGATCCCAAAATTTCAAATGGAAAAGATCCTCAATTTTTTCAGAGGAGCAATTATACAGTATGGTCAACAGCGGCTCAACAGTGAGATTGACTCGGCGCCCTAACGTGGATTCCACGTGTTGCTTTGTTGTCTTGTTTCCTTGCCTCCAAAAACATATACAAACAACTCTCTTGTTTCCAGTTCAAAAAGAAACAACCATCGTTATTTCCTAAACAACTTTGTAGCTCTCTCTCTCTCTCTCTGGCGATGGTGAATCCCCCAAAGAAGTATCTTAGCTCTTTCTGCCCCATAACAAGTAAGAAGAAGAACAGGTGGTTGCTTTCCATCTCTGCTAAACTTCCTTGTTAATGCTGTTGTTTTTGCTGAAATGGCAACAATGGCGGAGAGCGTGGTGATTGTGGTGATGGATGGAAATAGAAGCAAAGCCAACCTCGATGCCATAAGCTGGGCAATGAGCAACGTTGTTCGCCCAAAAGACACTCTGCTCGTTCTTGGAATCATCAGAGACTCTGAGAAGAAGACATCTTGCCTTCCTTTCAATCTTCGCAAGAACACGATATGTAAGGCCCCTGGAACTTATTCTTTCTCTCTCTTTTTCTTGGGACTTACCTTTTATTGCTTTTTCTTAACATAGGCAGGAATACGATCTGTAAGCATCTTCAACTCTTTTTTCTCAGTTTCTTTTAGCATTTATTACATTGGAATACCTGTTTCTCCGCACCCCACATCTTATAATCTTTGATTGTATGTGGTAAATTATTTGTTTTATTAGTCCCGGATTCTAACTGAAGTGCTACCCTGGTATAGTGGGAAATGAGTAAGGGTTAGCTAAAGTGTTCTCTCAATGATGAGCCATAGCACTGAAAGTTGAAGGGAAAGGGAAAATTCTATATAGTGAGAAAAGATATGGAGACTTATGGTTTCACTGAGACCCAAACCTTTGAAAAAGCAGAATGGCAGACCAAGACTGGTGCAGTTAATCCTGAACAGTTGTGAAAAGACTCTGATGATGATGATGATTATTCCAGCTGAAGTGCTCTGTACTAATTATAAAGAGCGGGTTCTTGTCTTGGACTGTATGTGAAACTTTGAAATAAGTCAATCTGAGATGCTTGATATTCATATTTAGTTCTGTATGGAAGTCTCTGATTTCTAACTCAGTGTTTGTGATTTAGTGGAGACTACACCAGAAAAATTCAGCTCAAATCCATCTATTGCCAGCATTTTCAGATTGGTCCCACGAGGTTAGGTACATGAGGGTTTACAATCCTTTAGAAATTTTAAACTTACCTCATCTTTATTTGAGTTGAAGGACCTATCATGGATGTAACTAATTGCAGTTATTTTAAGTTGGGTCAAGCAATTTTAGTGCAGTAAGTGGGTTGTCGCACCACCCTACAGGCTTTATCCTTTTTTCTTTGGTGGATTGGAGAGAATCATAGTATCATATGTATTTTTCTCACCATGCAAAACTAATGGATGACATGATTCTTGTGTTGATTGGTTGGGAGTTCCAAACTGTCAGCTAACTGATCCTGTGTTGTTTCATAGTGTGATACAAATGGAGGACTACAACATAATAAGCAGTCCTCGCACAAACGTATCTTTTTCATGATAAGTTCATGTGTAATTATGTACAATTTTGCTAGTAAACTTCTTTTATGGTAATATTAATGTTGGCAATATTTCTCTTTGAACAAACAAAAAGAATATTTTCAGTCCTTGTTTATTATGGTTTAGTATGTAGTTTTTGCTTCCTTATTCTTCACACTGTTCACATGGTTATAGATTACGTGGGGTTCCACGAATTGGCATCATTGGTTGTAAGCTAAGTGATTGGAGGGTTTTTCATATTTAACAAAGCTCGTCGGCTTCTAAAATTGTTAACTGCCTTGGACTCTTATCAATCATCATGTTTATAATTGGTACAAGATCTAATCTTTTCCTATACTGGACCTTATATTATGAAGGGGAACGATTGGTGTTCTCAGCAACAGAAGAGGTAACCCCTCAAGTGCTTGAAGATGAGATTAAGAAGAAGAAACAAGAGTATCAGTTTGTTCTTCAGCCATTTTATCAACAGTGCAAGAAGAATGGGGTAGGTGACTGAGTCATCCTTAATGAAGCCTCTTGAAGTTTTTGTCCAAGGATATCTTATAGTGGTATTCTTCAGCTGCATGTGAGATCATATCTAGACAAATATATTTGTTAAGTGTGCAGGTGAAGTTGGAGGTGAAGCTTGCTGCTGGATTTTCTCCTAACGAGATTACTGTTGAAGAAGCCCAAAGTACAAAGACTCGTTGGATCGTGTTAGATAGGTGATTAGGGGTTTTTCTTTCTTCTTCCAATATGAAAACCGTAAGTTTTGATGGCTCCCATTTAATAAATTCTGTTGCCATTTTGGCAACACACAAGTCATGTTTATCAGCCAAAATTGACACAAATTGAACACTTGTTCAGTGGAAGTTGGTGGAAGTTTATCTGAAACTCAGGATACAGTTTGGGATGCATATTCTCAGAAAATTTAGATTATAGTGTCAAATACCTATTGAATTCTTGTATTATTTTTCATTCATAAATTAAAAGCTAATGTCAAATAGCTAAGGAATTCTTGTTTCCCTTATATATTAAAAGCTAATAATATTTTACAATTTGTCTTACTATTTATTGAGGGGAACTTTCAAAGTATTCTGTGCTACCAGATCTGACGTTTAGTTTTTTTGAAAACCCCATTTTTGTTGAGATCTAAATTCACGTAAATTTTATGTTATATCTTTTCCCAGTGGAAACCATGAACAAAGATGAATTTTGAACTATAATCAGAATATTTGAAGCAGCCCTAGGATAGTTTACGGCTGAGCCAACCCTACTTGATCAACGCATTGCTGTCCTGCCAGCCATGTTTAAATAATTTCCTTTTCAATTCTCTAGTAAAAATAATTCATGCAAACAAATTAAATTCAGACCTCAAATGATTAAAGGGGGCTTTCCCATTGATCCCATTTTTGCAATATCTTGCGGTTTTCCCAACTTATATAGTTTATTTATGATCATGCATGTTTTTGCCTCTGCAATTTTGGCTCTTTTTGGTTCAATCAGCTTGTTTGGCGCTCAAGATTGAACTTGACATGATGAGGTTGATTATGACAAATTATAATTATACAAATCCCAAAAGTTGATGGATTTTGTTGTGCCATTTTTATGTGACAGCTATTTCTCTTGTTGATTGCAGTAAGTTAAAGAATGGCAGATTCTTCATAAAAGAACATGTACGCTGCAATGTGGCAGTAATGAAAGGGCATGATGTTGCCACCATCCTTTCATCTATGCCTGCTATTGGAGAAGATGTAAATGTTGCACCAGATACTGCTAATGATTCTGGATCCACACATTCTAGCCAACCACAGGAGAGTAACCTTGAGGAGCTTGATATATCAAGTGAAGAGAATGGACCCCCACCGGAGTCTTCAAGCCCTACAACTCCTACCCATATACATTCTTTACCCTCCCAATGGCCAGGTTTTCCTCGTGAGTTCTTCTTTTCTGAAGTGGAAGAAATAACAAATGGTTTTGCTGATGAAAACTTCATTATGGAGGAGGAGAACTTCAGGATTTACAGTGGTGTTCTTCTCGGGACCCCTGTTCTTGTCAAATGTTTCTCTGGTGGGACTAAACAGTTCTTGACTGAACTCAATATCCTTAAGAAGGTTCGCCATCGCAATATATTGAACCTTTTGGGATACTGTTGCTTGAATGTATCAACAATGTTTTTGATATGTGAGTACCCATACAATGCGTCACTGGACTATCAACTGAGATGTAAGTGTGTATGTTATGCTCAAGCATCTATCACTGTTGCACTCCATGGAATCCTTATGTTTGCCTTTGTCGAGAAAAAGGGAAACAGTGTTGTTATGAGATGCACCAGAACAGGACATGACCCCAACTTATTAATTGTTATTGGGAATGTCTAAAATGTCTCGTATATGTTCATACTTCATAGGGATCATCACTGTCCAATCAAAAGGTTTAATGGTGGAGGGAGACTGGAATGTACAACTGAACCAATGACATGTTTTTGCAATCTACTCTCCCTTCAGCACTGTACAACCTATTGATTAGATCGTGCCATCATATGCTTTCCTTTGATTATCTAATAAGAAACTAATATCAAAGGACAACTGCATGTTATGTTTTGCGCTATCTGCATATTTTAGCTGGAGATTAGTCATTGTAATCTTCCTTCGAAAAGGCAGGTAGTTTGTTTGTTTATTCATCTATGATGAAACTGAGACATATATCTATTTAGCGTCAGAATTGGCATGCAAACTATCATGGAGGATAAGGTCGAACATAGCACTTGGGGTTGGTAAGTGTTTGCGCTATCTTCATGAGGAGTGTCCTGGTGGACCCATATGCCACCTTTCCCTCTCATCCTCAAATGTTTTGTTATCTCAAAGCTATATGCCTCTGGTAAATGTAAAACTGCAAGCATTTTAAATCCATCCGTGCGTCATTCTCAGTAAATTTGGACTGAATTATAGTTATGCCCATGTGTTTGTATTGAAGCTTGCAAACTTTGGTTTGGCGAAGTGGGTCAATCATGAAGAAGCATTGCAAGCACCATCTCTAGAAGAGCCCATCGGGTAAGGCATGTGATGCAAACACCTCATTGATGTTTATTTTTATGAAATAAGCTTTCACAGGCTATCTTAGAAACAAAAATGTGAGGTTGGCTTGTGTGTTTGCTTTCTTTGCTTACTTTTGATGTTCTTTTGATATTTAAGGAATATGCTACAAGAAGGTGAGTGCCTCTCATGTGATGTTTATTCATATGGCTTGTTGCTGTTGAAGTTGCTAACAGGACGAACTCTTGGAGAGGGCCCGTCCTTAGAGGAATGGGTAAGCTAAATTCAGAACTTGCATCGCACTAAATTTCACCAACGTAAAAAGAACTAGCATAAGTGTTTAGGATTTAATAACCCCTTTATACACGGACACAGGAACCCAAAAGTTGGATCCCACTGGGATGGTATAATTAATCGGATATAAACAAAATAGGCATGTGCAAAAGGTAATATAATAAATAATAAATAATGCAAAAATGCACAAACCACAAGAACAAAAAGATTTATTTGGTTCAACCTGAAGAGGGCTACATTAACGGGCACAACAAACTGAAATCCAGTATATTAAAGACAGTTACATCCAGATTTTGGGACACAAAGTTACCTCTCTAACCCTTGATGAAACCCAGTTGAACAACCTTTTTAGGCCAGCTCTCTAAATCGACATCACTCGCCGATATCCAATCTCTATTCTACAGCTAAATCATTATATAGGAAGAGAATCTTAAGAGCAATAGAGACGTTCTCTCACTAAAATGGGAACTAACCATATCTCTACGGGAACCGTTTCTTTGCAAGAAACCAACCTCTCACTTGCATGAGGGATTAGTGGGAATACTTCTCTCCAAAAAAAGCTCACATCTCTTTATGTGAGAGGCTCGCTTCTCATGCATAGGAGACCTTTCCCATATGATAAACCCAAATAGTGCACACACATCTTCTTTACCTCTCATTCCTTAAATATCTAGGAATTCAAATAGGAAACTTCAGTAGATTTCCTAACAAATAGGAAGCTCATCAATATCAATATCAGAGCCTGTCCCATATAACATGGGATTTCCTTATAGTGGTGATCTTGGATATCATCATATCCAATACAAAGAAAGCCAACAACTACATTGTGTGTGTGTCTGTGTGTGTGTGTGAGAGAGAGAGAGGAAATGCAACAAAGCTCCTAAGCGTTATAGAAAAAAATGAGTTCCAAAGAGATGTCAAAGCAAGAAAATGAAGTATCAATGGTTCAATGCTGATAATACATATAGATGTTGCTTAAAGAACAGAAAGGGTGAATATGCAAACCTTCTTCTGAAATATTAAACACAGGTAAAATGGATCAACCCAATATGTGTTGAAGGACTTTGGTTAATGCAAGCAGGCTATACCTTTCATAGAAAATGGCTCCATGAGTCAAATAATAGACCCGAGGTTGAAAGATTCATGTGATGAGGAGCTGCTGAGGGACATGGCACATGCTGCATTACTATGTATAAAATCAGATTCAAGGTGTCAACTTTCCATGAGCAGGGTGAGTTAGTGCTTTTTTTATTTTCACTTATTCTTTCCTTCATGTCTGTTGCTTTTGATTTGCGGGAAATACACCAAGTGAATTCAAATGTAGCATGCAAAGTCTCTCTCTCATATGTTTTAATCAATGTTCGCTTTCTCACATGGTTATTGTACTCGGTGTAATTTTTAATGGTTATAGGTGGTGTCTATTGTGGAAGGCAACCAGTTTATGAATTCTAGATGCTAAGGAAGGCTCTAATTGCTTTGGGATCCCCTGGTATGAATGATGAACTAAAATTGTAGAGTGTATTGATCTTCCTCGTCTGAATTATTGGTGATAGAGTACTGCTTTTTGCTATGAATGTATGTTAACCAATTGAGAAGACTTTGAAAGTAAATATGACGCACACGAAGCTCTGTATAGAAGTTTAGAAATAGAATCACGTAATTAGAGGGCCCTGGTCCTATGAAAAAAATGAAAATGCTCTCTCTCCCTCTAACTTATTATATATAGTCCTAATTAGAGGGCCCTGGTCCTTTGAAAAAAATGAAAATGCTCTCTCCCCCCTAACTTATTATATATAGTCATATGAAAAAAAAGCTGGGATTAGCCTACTAACTCATATGAACATATGAACTCAACAACTCAGATTGAATTTGGGCAGATCTGACGATCACCGATGTCCGGTATTATTTGAATTTTTTTTTTCTACAAATCCAAATCACTTGAAATTTTAGTTGTGTGTTTATCAAAAATAAGTGAATCTTCGAAAAATATCAAAAAAACATTTTACATAAAATAAAGTGATCAAAAAGCCCCTGAAAAGTTTTGGGGGTATTTTGGCCATTTTGTTTTTCACGAATAATTTTTTTAATATTTTTATTAGTAGCACATTGATGAGAAGAACACACATTTAAAATTTCAAGTTATTTAGTTTTATAAAAAAATAAATAAAATTCAAGAACGGCTGGACATCCATGATCATCAGATCTGTCTAGATTCAATCTGGGCCGTTGGGCTTATATATTCATATGAGCTAGTGGCGTAATCCCAACATTTCATGTTTAAATTTTAATTTTTTTTCTACGAATCCAAATAACATAAAATTTTAGACATATGTTCTTCAAACAAGAAGAATTTAATAAAAATATCAAAAAAATAATGTGCAAGAAATAAATTGACCAAAATACCCCTGAAATATTTTGAGGGTATTTTGGTCAATTTATTTTTTACAAATTATTTTTAAATTTTTTTATTAGGTAAGCCTTAACGAGAAGAATGAACGCCTAACATTTCAAATTATTTGTATTTGTAAAAAAAAATAAAACTAAATTCAAATATAAAATGAAATCGTAACTGTCAGATTAACCTAGATTCAATCTAGACTATATATATATATATAGTTGCAGGTGGTGTATTGGGTTACTGTTATATTCTCCTAGGGGTGTTTCTCAGGGCGGTGGGTGGCCATTGGTCGTTTACACAAAAATGTGATTAGTAAATGAGGCATATTGACCTTCTCTACATGCTTTATGTGCTATTGTAATGAATGTAAACAAGTGTGAGTGTGAGTGTGCGTGGAAGCATATTTTTTTTAGTTCCTCACAATGTCACCCTATTGTATCTTGATCAAATTTTATAAAACCAGGCATAATACCATTCGATCATGATGGTTACATAAGGCTGCTACCTCTTGTTTTGGGACTCTTGTTTGCAACACAATCGTCAAACCCATAAACTTAAAAGCTTGAAACTTGAATTGCTAATCTTTTAGTATGATGAATATATTGAAAGTTTGAAACTAAACTGGTACCTTGAGAGTAATCTGACATGCATAACATGCCTGATTATGGAACAAACAGGCATTATACATGCACCTTCCATTTCCACCCCCGATCTTCATCTCCTGCAGCTCTTGAAATGTCTTTAAAAGTCGCTTTCTGTTTATCGAGTGGGTATCGCATACTCTTGGGGAAGCAATGTACATTTACTTCCTGAGTAAAAGAATTAATAGTATCTTCTTGATGTAAAATTTTAGGATGGATTTCAAGTTTCCAAACACTAAAAATGACTGTTCAAAATGTAAAGTCTCCATTAAATATTATGATATTATTTGCACATATAGAACTTCAACAAAAGCACATGATAACAAAAAAAAAAAAACCAACAACAACAACAGTTGCTAGGCTGAGGTGGAAACCAGTGTTCGCAAAATCTATTTTTGATGAGCCACAATACGATTCGTTAAAATCTATTTTTTTTCATTGATTTTCAACTTCATTTGAGTGTGTTTTGTTTTAATCACATTCCTTATATGTTTTTCATATTTTAATAGATTTTTTTATATATCTTTCTTATTTTTTAACACTGTTTTTTATCATATGCAACTTGCTTGGTTAAAACGGTTGAATCGGCTAGTTTACTAGTTAGGCCAATTAAATCGCTACCGGGCCATGTGCAGTTAACTATTCCAGTTTGATTTTACAAAACATTCCCAAAATCTAGGGTCTCAAAACTACAAAGTCAATTGAACTCCTTCAAGGCCATATAATCCTATGCTTATATATTGTTAGACCAAATAATGTTATACACGTTAGATTATTTTCATCTTAATTTTAATTGCTAATCTCATGCGCTCATCTTTTGGAAATAGTAAAAACTCAAGCTCCCAATACAATGGATGGAAAAATATTTGATGAGCCACAAGATGTGGTTCAGCAACTGTATCTCCCAACACATCAAATACCTTGTTAAGACAGTCTTCAAAAACTGGTGGCCTACCAAAAACTAAATTGAATGATGTAGTAAAAAAAAAAAACTTCAAAGTTTCATAATGTTATTTATTTTTCCAGATTCATGGCCACCATGGTTGAGATTTTCAAACCCTAAAATTTTGAAGTCAAAATCATACAAAATTTTCAAAGGGGGTGTATGCAAATAGAGGAGTCAGCCGACTGATTAAGACCTTACCCAAGTGTCTAATAAATTATTCATATTGATCATCAGAGCTATACAATTCGATACCGTAATCCTGAACCTAAATTCCACACACATCAGGATAATAAATAATAAATAAGAGAGAGAGGGCAGGATAATAAATAATAAATAAGAGAGAGAGGGCAGCTCAATGGAGGGCAGCTCAATGAATCACAATGAATCACATAAGTTGAAGTTGGTCATCATGCCAATAACCCATTCCTTTTACCCCAACCAATAGCCATGACATAAAGAACCCCACAAGCTCCAATTGTTCCACAGGTGGCTTGCATGAACTGTGCCATCCCAGCATCAAAGAGGCTGATGTGAATATTCATACCAAACAAACCAACAACAACAATTCCAGCATTGGCTATCAATGTCGCAGTCGTGAGCATCACTCCCATTTGAAGCAGTTGATTCTGTTTGTCATCAAGCATTATGTTGATGTAGTCTTCTGTATCGTCAACATACTCTCTAAGCTTCACAAAAGGTTTGCAATGACCATAATTGAGATCAGCTTGAGATAATAGATAAAGACATCAAACAGGGCTAAGTATCATAAACTATTTGGAAAGCACGCGTATATCGTATAAAAAATTTCAAAACACAATTCAGCTTTCAGTTTGTGCTTACATGACAAGCAAAAATATGCTTGTATGGCATCACACGCTCCCCCAAAAAAAAAAAAAAATACAACAGGATATAGTTAAAATCAGTGATAAAAAGGATAAGAGGATTAGTTCAAATTAGAAAAAGGCAAAATTTGAAATCATTATCACCGTCATAGCCTTTTTCCAATTAATTGGAGTCGGCTACACAAATCCTGGTCTGGCATTCTGTTCTATAAGGATCATACTATCAATGAGGCTGTAAATCCTCATATCTTTTCTCACTACTTCCAACCATACCTTTTTGAACCTACCCCTTGCCTTTTTTAAACCTTCCACTTGAACTAACTCACACCTCCTAACAGGTATTGTACTGGGCCTGCACCATACATAGCCAACCTACCTAAGTCTACTCTCTCTCATCTTATCACCTATTGGTGCTACAATTAAATTTTTCCGAATGGATTCATTTCGAATTCTATCCTTTCTTGCAACTCATCCATCATAACATCATCTCCGCTACATTTATTTTACGTGTATTGTGGCCCAATGCTGCACACCATAGAGCAAAGCTAGATTCACAGCTGTCCTATAAAACTTGACCTTCAGCTTCATTGGTATGCGACGATCACGTAAAATTATGATTACACATCTCCACATCCGCCACCCAGCTCTAATTTTGTGTGTAACACTTAAATCTCTCCCTTTTCTTAGATTGTCGACTCAAGATATCGAAAGTGCGATCTTTTTAAAATTTCCTGGTCATCAATATTAACTACTTCCTTGTTTTTACTCCTAATACTACTAAATTTGAATTCCATATACTTTGTCTTTTTTCAGCTAATTTTAAAAATTTTAGATTCTAGAGCACCCTCTAAAGTTCTAACTTTGTTGACGCCGTTTCCGGTCTCATTGATCAAAACTATGTCATATATGAACAACATGTACCACGATACCTCATCATGTAGGTGCCTAAGTAAGTCGTCTATAACTAAGACAAAGAAGTATGGGCTCATTGTTGACCTCAAATGTAGACCTATTGTCACTGAAACCTCACCTATCTCTCCATTAGTTGTTCGCACACTAATTAGCGCTCCATTGTACATGTCTCTCACAAGTCAATGTAGTGTCTGGAGACGCTTCTCTTTTCTAATACCTACCAAATCAAATCTCGAAGTACTCTATCATAAGCTTTTGCTAGATCAATAAATACCATGTAGAGGTTTTTTTCCTTCGCTCTAAACTTCTCAATCAGTTGCCTAAGTAGGAAAATAGCCTCGGTTGTTGACCTCCCTAGCATAAACCAAATTAGTTTTCAGATACCCTTATTTTATGCCTTAGTTGTTGCTCAGTCACTTCGTAAAGCTTCATAGTATGGCTCATAAGCCTGATCCCTCAATTGTTCACAAAATTCAGTATGTCTCATTTGTTCTTGTAAATAGGTACCAAAATATATTTCCTCCATTCATTTGCCATTTTTTTTGTTCTCAATATCTTGTTGAACAACTTCGTCATCCAGCTAATGCCAATCTCCTCCATACACTACCAAACCTCTATCGAGATACTATCTGGTATTAAAGCCTTTTTTATCTTCCTCCTTTTCAAAGCTTTGTTTACTTTTGATATCCTAATCCTATGAATGTATTTGCGACCTCCGCCCTCATTTATCTCTACGATTCCTTCTACCACTATGTTTCTATTGTATCATTTAATAAATTTTGAAAATAAACTCTCCACTTTTTGTTGACCTCTTCATCCTTCACCAAGACCCTTTGAGCCTTACTCTTAATGTTTACAATAAAAAAATAAAATTAAAATGATGCTATGAATAGTGTAGTTGACAAAAGAGGGCATACAGCTGAGAGTTTGTTTAAGGTTCCGTCTATTTGCACAAAGTACGCTTCTAAAAGCATCTCCAGGTCTTCAATATCAAGCTTGAAACCTCTCGAGCTTTCAACACCAGTGATGTTCTTGCCATTGTTGCTATCAGATTCCTCATCCCTAAATACAAAGAGCAAACAAAAGAGTAATAATTAGTGTCTTATTCTCTTGTTGATAACTAAAGCAGAATACATTCTAGTTGCTCATCATAATATCATCATCATTGAGAAGTTTGCTAAAAAAATACGCACTACAAATAGATATACAACGAAATGAACAACACTAAACAATTACCACACAGTAACCCGAAGAAATTACAGCCTAGTAAGCCAACAAGCCAAAAGAGTTGTTATGACTAGACCAGCTAGACTGACATACATCCACCTATTCTTTGGCCAATGAGGTCAGTCTTTAAACCTTTTTTTGACATACATCCACCTATTCTTTGGCCAATGTGGTCAGGTCAGAGTCTTTAAACCTTTTTTTATTATTAAATTTTACTTCTTTAGTATTAGTACAAAATGTTGCAGCTTACATTACTGCTACTAGTAAGCAGCCCATGCTTGCACGAAAACTTAAAATTTATTATTGATTAGATTACAAATAAAATAAAATAAAATAATGTTATGAAGTGTGAATAATAGTTATAAATGATTTATAAGACATAAAAGTTAGTAATTAAAAAACATAATTAAAAGAAATCATCAAAAGACAAAATTTAAAGAGAATAGCAAGATCTACTAACAGCAAGGGGAACTTAAAAAATTAATTATGAATTATTTTTATATTAAGTTACAATTTATGATTAAAAATTATAGTTATTCAAAAGCCTCAGAAAATATAGTTAATGCTTAAATAAAACATTATATACAAAATGATATAATAATATTAGAAATTACAAATTTCTAACTACAAAACTTTTAAAAGTAGTCATATTGTTTAAGACAAAACAATTATTAATTAAAATCCTGTCAAAATCAATTTAAAAATTTAGAATAATTCATAATAATAAATTAATAGCAAAGTACTAGAGCAAATACCAACATTTGAAAACACAAAGCTAGCATGCCTCATGGTCCACTTGAATCAACACTACAGATCATCTAAAAGAAACGGAATTAATTTTAAGTTCTAAGATAAAAAAAATTCAAAAATAAATAACCTAAAAAACTAACAGTTTTATAAAAAACACAATAAGAAATTAATAGTAATGTTTTAGAGAAAACACCAACATTTGAAAATTCGAAGCTGGCATGACTCAGTCCATTTACAAAACATATGAATATGAATTTACAAAATAAAATCAACGCATACAATACGTTTCCACCAACTTGATGAGATATGCACATTTATTGTAACACCCAATAGTTAACTAAAAAATTAAACTTATAAATCAAAAAATAAACATTAAAAAAAATTCAAACTACAAATTACTGATTCCAAATATTAATTAAATCAACTAAGTTATGATTTTTAACTAAAAATGAGACGCAATTCAATTCAATATATCACTAATTTACTGAAAATCCTTTTAAAAAGCAGAAAAAGAAAAGGAAAATATGAATCTAAGAAAAGGGATTTGAAAGATAATAGCACACAAAAATCCGTAGAGAAAAGCATAGAAGCTTACCAGGAGACGCACCAAGTATCATCAAAGTGAGTAGAGAGTTTTGCAAAGATAGTGTAGAAACTAGAGAGTAGATAGAAAAGATGAGAGAGAGTAGAGAGAGGATGACAAAAAAGTGAGAAAACGAGAGATTGGGAACCGTAAGTATCGGGGATCTGAAAACCTTGGTATCACGCATCTTTTTAAATAGAGAGACACTCTTTCAAACTATTAATGTTCCCTCAAATTTTCCTGTGTCAAAAGGGGATTGGAGGTCTAAGTGCAAGGACGGATATTGAGCAATAGTTTCTCTCACAATTTTAGGATAAACAACAGCTTCTTATTTATTTGTCGGCCAATTTTGGTCCAATCATTTCCTTGGTTTCATCCCTTTTGCCCGTACCAGCATAGTTTATTAGGCAGTATAATCTGATCCCCAAGTTTATGCCAAAAACATTGAGACCCTAGCCATCTTCTAGTGAAGCAAGAATCTGGCGAGTATAACAAACCTCAAAAGAGGAAAAGTGCAACAACTATGAGAGGAGTCCAAAAGCTCGAGAATTCTAAAGCTTTAATACAACTGCATAAATAATTCAATCTCCCAAAAATGGACCCTTACCAAGGAATTTAGAAGGAAAAAACCATAACCCTAACTAAAAACCTGGTACTTAGCTAAATTGCTTCAAAGCATCTACTAAGTATGGAGATTCTATCCTAATAACATCTTGAAACTAAATTAAGAAAAAAAATCTTACACGAAGCACTAAGAATGACTTTTAAATTTACCTATCACTGATGAATTTACCACTTTGCCCCTGGATTTCCAGCACAAAATACCAGAGACTCCAATTCATATATTTTTCATCTCCATCACTTATCCCTCTCTCTTCTCAATTCCTCTAGCACCCTTGCAGCCCATTTTTTCCTATACTCCAGCCAGTTCTGAAGTTTCCCCTTATTCTTGTTTTCTCCATTAGATTTGAAGTTAAAATGCCCCAACTTCTTTCCAGTCTTTTGCAGCCCATTTTTAGATTTTCAATTATCTCCATTTTCCCCTGCCGATACAATTAAATCAAAATTCTAATCCACTAGTCTTTTTGCCATTAGTCCCTAAGAATAAACAGAATCTAGCTGGTGCAAAACAAAGCTAACTAGGTAGTATGGACATTAGCTTCTTTCTTTTCTCTCTAGTACATTTCATCATGACTAATTTCTTGATTTAATAGTTCCTAGTTTTCTACAAGTTTCCGAAATTCTTCCTATTTTTATCTCATTTTTTCATATTCTTTTTTTTTTGAACTTCAATTTGAATAATTTTTTATTTTTTATTTATTTTTCCATAAAACTGTCCAACCAATCCCTAATGGTTGGATGGATTTTTACCAGACAGGTCCTCTCACCAGTTCAAATGCTGTTGTCAAGATGACAATGGGCGAAAGATGCCTAGGATGTCTGCCCAAGAGGAGCCTAGGGATTTTGGCCTTCAAACAGCTAGCTAGGCAGCCATGAGACCAAATTTTTTAATATTGAACACAAGGTAATATCGATAAAATGCAGATATTCCAATAAACCTCTTCGATCTGAATGGCAAAGCAAAGAGCTTCAAACCAAATATCTCCCTTAGAAACTTCTTCCACCTAATCAGCTTAATCCCTAAGGTCAACCTGCGTTCTTCAGAGCATTTAAGTTAAGGAAGTTTAAGAAAATACCCATGAGAGATTAGGTATTTAATATTTTATCCATATAGTTTGATTTAATTTCAAAATACCCCTTAAGAGACATGATTATGAGTTGGAATAGTTGCAAATGTGTAAAACGTTAAATAATATTAGGACATCTCTCATGGGTAATTTGATAAACTTCCCCCTAAGTAATAACAAAGTTGTTCAAAATCCCCAAGAGAAGTCCTATAGCTAAGAAAAAACTGTCACTACATCGCTGAAGATCACAGAAAATGCAGTACTAAGAAATTATGAGTAAGGCATGGAAGTTATTCCACAAGGTCCAACCATGCATGACTGAATTCCTTGGGACCTAATGGTTCTACTACAACCTGGCAGAAGTAAAGGGAAAGAAAGACAACCAGTACTCATGTACCCCCCAAACACAAACCCACCCACCCACCACCAAAAAAAGGAAAAGCAACTGCAGAAACAAGATATTTATAGCTAAAACAAAAATTACATTACACAAAAATATACCTTGCTTCATCTGAATTAATTTCATCTTGCACCAATTCATCTCTTGAAGAGATCCCATCCATAGATTGCTGAACAAGCTTATCTGTCAAATACATCTCGGCCATATCAGCGTCGTCATCCAATAAGTGTTCAAGCTCATCCCTAACCTGAAAAAAAAATGAACCTTACCAAATAAATTAGATAGAGTTTAGCACTCTACAGCAAATAAAAGCAGCAGAGCAAGTGTTTGAAAGGGGAAGGGAAGAAAAAACACTATACAAGCCTCACCAGTCACTAGTAATTACATAACTGAAATTAATAACCTCTAATATCAAAGTACAATAAAGAGCAACTCCAATTCAAAAGAGTAAACTGCAGGGTTGAGTATGCAAGAGGATGAACGTCAAATGTAGCTCCATCAACATCACCAAATGAGGTTAACTGTTAGAACCAAGGCTTGGAACAAATAGAAAGCATCATTGTACAAAGGAAGCAACAGAACCAATCGGTAATTCTAATACCATGTTTCAGACAAAGACTCATGACTCCTCCATATCAGATCACATTAACTGCCTTGGAGACTTGGATAAATTTCCAAACATGGTACTTCCAGTCTAAGAGAACTCAATCACAGAACAAAAACTCTGGTTCGCCATCCTTCATTTTAAATAAGCAAAGATGGTGTATTATGATTTCTAGAAATTGGTGACAACAAGTTGCTTTGTTCTCCAAAGAACGAAGCACAGTTTCTGCGAAACAATAAAAAATAAAGCATTCTTATGTTCTTTATCGACTCTATGAAGTATTCTTAAGTTCTTTAAAGTCATTCACAACACCATGGTAGCATCATAAAGAGGCACATTGAAATGAACTCTTCGAATTTGATGTACAGCACCTATCAATATTCTTTCTTGCTAAGCATTTTCCTTTTAAAAGCGGAAAAGGTATGCATGCAGAATTGATGAAAGTGGTGTTCAAATTTGGATATCCAGCATCCAGTCCAGATGCAACTTACATTTTGATCAGTGTGTGTTCCAACAAAGTGCAGTGTTTTGCAAGTGAGATGAAAACTGAAAAGTACCAGTTTTCATCTCACTCATGTAAACAGCAGCATTTTTCAAGAGTAGCATCACCTACTTGGAGTTCTAAAGTGGCACCAATGGGACTACTCAACCACCTCCCTCACCTAAAATGCCACCCCAACAGAAAAAACCCATGATATGGTGCGACATGCAAACGAATCCTAAATGATTTTCGAAACCTTCTCTAAAAAATGATTGCTAAGGCCATAATCAAGCTTTAATGTGTTGGGAGGGGCACCAAAATTTGCTGTCTTTTTTTCTTTCAAGTAATTAGTATGCATAAGTTTCCATACCTGGAAACAAAAGTTTGTGCAAAGAGCTCAAGCCCCTAAATTAAAGAGCCAAACCCAAACAACAGGACATGAAAGGGTTAAATTTAACACCATAAATGATATGACTCCAGAATGATAAAGGCATTCCGTATTTTCCTAGTTGTATCACTAGAACACTACAGGAAACAGAACAAGGCCAAAAAACAATTCAAACTACAGATTTATAAGCTGCATATGTCCTAGACCATATTCAACAAATAAATTACAAAGCAATAAATACAAGTGATTCGAAAGTTCAAATTTTTAAATAAATAAGGTGCTAATTTTGAAGTAATAATCTATCGTCTTTCAACAAAAATGCCATAGTATTCAAAGTTCTGTAAATGTACTCCTTATTTTATCATTTTTCTATAATTTACCTTTATTTTTCGATTTCAAGTCCTTTTCATGGCACATTGAATCAAATATATTCATGTTTAACTTCTTTCAGAAGTTCAAAGATATAGAGATGACCTTAAGTTATGCTAAGTATACACTTGAAGCTTCATGAAAGAATCCACTTTAAGTGGGACAGATAACAGAAAGAAGGCAAGAACTCCTGTACTGAACAAGATGTATGATAAGAAACACATAGTTGAAAGTAATAGATGATGATAAAGAAAATGTGGACCCGTCAAAAAAATAGACATGCGTCAGACTAATCAATCACTTCATTAAAGAATGATGACCCAAAGGACTAATGTTTTTACATAGTCCATGGTAGGAAGTCAGTAACCACAAACCAAAAATGAGTTGGCACACATACCTTCTGAACACGCCCAGATATGGCAACTAGTCGACTCTTGATCTGTCTGACACGATCTAGATTTAGAGAGCTGATTTTAGACGTCAACTCATCTAGAGCAGGATATGCTTGTTTCTCCAATGCAGAAGCCTGAAAGACATGACAATAAAAGGAAATTCAATAAGGGGTCGTTTGGGTGTCCAACAATCCATTACAAGGAAATGGATTTACATGAAATGCCCCATTTTTGTTATTTGGGTACGCAACAATACAAGTGTGAAATGGACTTTCCACCAATATAGTTGTGAAATGGATGACGAGGGTGACAGGTAATCTATTCCCCGTTGGACACGATAAAGTTAAAGGGCACTCCCTTTCTACCGTGGACAATTATGGCATGAGGTGGCTAATTTGAAGTCAAAACTCACCTATCTTCCATAAAAATAAAGTACCCACATGTAGCTTAACCCTTTAAGTAACTAATTTATTTATTCTCTCTCTTAAAAGTTAACTGGTTTGAATATATAAGTAGTAATTTATTTATTACTAAATTTCTAATTTTTAATTTTAATTTTAATTTTTTTAGAAAATTATAAAAAAATTATTTTTAAAATTAAAAAAAAACCCAAAGTCTTCTCCCGAATCAGCCAAAGTACCAAATTGCTTCATTTTTCAGACCAAACTGAAGCAGACTCTAAAGCGAATCTAACAACATTGGATTAAACAGAGACTCAATCTATTGGATATACTCATCCATTGTGTGATTCATTCGTGAATTTTGTGATTGTGTCAAGATTATGTGTGTTATTGCAAAACCTTGTTATTTATTATGCAGGTCAATGTCAAATGTATTCGCCATGGCCTCACATTAGTATAATAATGATGCCATTGCTTTTCACATATTAGTAAGTAGTGATGAGGACAATATTCTCTCTTTGAAAAATGGTGAAGCTATTCACCTATTAATGAAATAATTAAAGGGAGAAGGGATAAAATTAATCATTGGTTCATTCACATATTACAAAATAAAGTACTTTTAATATATATTTTATCTTAAAAAAGGGAAAAAAAACTTGTACAACAAAAAACGCATTACTATAGATTAAAGCAGTGATTTAAAATTCGGCGAGTCGCAACGGACTCGCCCGAGTCGACAGGACAATCAGTTACCCCGTGTCGATTCCAGTGTAAAACCGGGAACCACCCGGTTCTAGAACGAACCGGCCGGTTCAACACAGTGAACCGCTTGTATGACGTCATACACAAGTGAAAGTTGCCCGTATGATGTCACATAGCAAGTCAACACGTGGCAAAATACCGATTTTCTATAGTTCATACGTGGAAGGCTACCATCACACATCGGCCGCGAGTGGATGGCAACCTCGGGCATACGCACACAAACCTCCATAAACTTACAAAGTAATTTATAGAAGTGAAACTATAGCTCGCTATTGGACGTGGGATAATTCCCACAATGCGTCAAATTACGGTGAAATTTGGATAAGTACTATTAATGTAGATAACAGTTACACTTACGCTGATGTGGCGAAGTGGTTATCACTTCGTTGGTAGAGCCGTCACATGTCAAGTTCGATTCCGCCTTGGATACATTTTATTTTATTTTTGTTGACAATAATAATAAGCGGAAAATAAAATTTTTTAATTTTTTTTTTTTTGAAATCTCTCTATTTCTATTAACAATCTTTTTTACTAAATTTATTCTATAAATCCAAAAAATTATTTTTATTTTTGTTGACAATAAAAATAAGAAGAAAATAAGAAATAAATTTAAAAAAAAAACTTTATTTTTTTTTATATCTCTTTCTTTCTATTAACAATTTTTTTTACTAAATTTATTCTATAAATCTAAAAAATTATTTTTTTTAAAAGAAATTTATTCCATTTGAAATCTCTCTCTTTCTATTAACAATCTCTTTTACTAAATTTATTCTAGAAATCTAAAAAATTAAGTATTTGAAAAATTAAAGTGTTCTTTAGAAAATTGGTATGCATTCTAATAATTTCTAACCGAAATTTTATTTTATTCTTTAATTTTTTCATTATAAATCATGTAATTTATTATCTTTCTTACAGTTCTCAATAATACATTTTAAATTAGATCGTATTACAAAATATTTTAGATTTGTTAATATTTGTATAATAAAATAAATATAAAATTTAAACCAACAATTTTAATTTCAGCGTATAACATTATAGTTAGTTAGGTTGTAATAAATTTGGATTATAGTTAGTTTGTAATAATTTGGCTATTTTTAGAGGATTAGGGCTTTCTGGCAATTTAAGATTTTGATGGGCATTTTTTATCGATTAAATCTACTCTTTATAGCAGTCCATGTATGATTATATATTTTATCCATGATAATTATATGATTTTTCTTATGTGTGATGTAAATTTAATAGTTAACATAAGTTTATACAGAGAAAAAACATATCAATATTCACAAATTGATGAAAAAAGTGAAAGTTAACAATGGAATACCCTCATTTCTAATTGGATTCCTAAAATACAACATTTATAATTAATTTTAATAAATTTTTTGGATTTTTTTAGAGCTTAATCCAATCGAGTCGGCCGATTTTCGATCTGGATGGGTTATTGAAGTGCCCGATCCGGGGCACCGATCCATTTTTTAAATCACTGGATTAAAGTAATGCAGTATTTCCTAGCCAAAATATTGGTGATATATATTTCTCAAATTTTTTCCAAACATAGCCAAATAGTAGCAATGTATTACCCAGATTGCATCCAAATGCTACCCAAACAGTAACAATCAATTTTCATGTAATATATTACGTCAGTAATGAATTACGCCAATAATATATTTTCGAGACAATATATTTCCAGGTAGCCAAACAACCCCTAAGGGAATATGGTGTGTAATAAGATTGCCCCAAAAAAGAAAAGAGCAAACAAAAGAATCACTTGAGGGAAAATAGTGTGGAATAAGAATACCAAGAAAAAAAAGACCAAACTACTTATGATTTGTCAAAATAACAAGAGCGCTAATTTTGATCTTAATGTAAATTAATTAGATGCATTGAACAAACAAAAAGGGACAATTTAAATTTAGAAGTTTCTTATTTCATAATTCCTTATTATGATCTTTCCATTTCTTTTTTATGATTGAGGTTCATATGTGATTATAAAGAATAATTATGGAATGTGCTTAAAATGTCAGCATCTGATCAATGTATTGCATTGTTCCACTCACACATTTGTCAGTCACAAGACGAATGAAAGAATGAAAGAGCTCCAGTTGATTTTTTCTGGCAATTGATATTAGTTCTTTATTCTAGATATACAACCTTTGATTAATGTTGTTATTTAATCTTAACCAGTTACCATGTCCAAATGGGAGTCCAGGCCCAACAAATGTAGGGGATATTATTTCACCAACGGCCAAAAAATAAAAAACTTCCAACGGTCGGTGATGCGGATTCAAATAGCAAAAAAGAATTCAAAGAAAAAACAATGTATTTACTAAAAGTTAATAGAAGCTAATAAGCCTAGCTTCAAAGCCTTTATGAATTTAATGGAATTCTAGAGAACAATGCCTTGAAAGAAAACATCAGCCAACTCTGAACAAACAACCCTGACACAACCCCTATTTACAGACTTTATTGAGACTCCCTTATTCCAATTCTGATGTAACAAGAGATCCTAATTAAAATTGAACTCGAATTTGACACTTTTGCCCATAAGCACATAAGATAAAACCCTTTCTAGAAAAATCCTTTAAAAAAATATCTAATCAAGTGTTTTAAAATACGAGATGCGGACCCTATGCAGTCGAAAAGCCGATGCAGTCCAAATGCGAGCACATCACTCGATGTGGTCAATAAATATAAATTTTTTCCAAATAATAGGTCAATGCATGGAAAACATATAGAGGTGATTTATGTGACAATAGGTATTTAATTTATTCATTAACTCTAATAGTATGAATTGTCGAAGACATCATCTTATAATAAACATCCAAAAAACATAACTACAATTGCAAACTTTAAATTTGCAAGCTCCAAAGATAAATATAACAACTAAAAGTCTATGAAGTGTTCGAGAGTAAAGATAAAACATAGAAGATAATAGAAACTAAAAGATAATCTAATCAGCTCTCAACTCTCAAGTCTCAATCTCAAATCTCAATCAGACAAGTCCTCTAGGGAGTCTCCATGTGTATGTGCATCTCTAACATCTAAGTGCGAGAATATAGAGGCATCATCTTCATCAATATCATCCTCAGTGGCCTCCACATATATTTCATCGTCCTCGGTCACCTTTAGGTCGGCCTCCTTCTCTGCTCCACCTTTGGAACTGATATTCAATTGGACCGACCTTTTTTCTTTTGTGCTCCAGTGTTAGCCCCTACATCTTTTCAGCCCTTGTGGGTAGCTTGACATCATACCAAGTGAGATCCTCACCCTCAAACACAAGCTTTGCTTATGGATCCATAGTCCACTAACTTGTACCCTCATCATTAGGTTCATACAATCGAATCAGGTTGAGATCCATGAGCTTTTTGTACCTCTCCCTAGGACGCTCATTATATAAAGCAAAATAGAAAAGGTACATTTCATCTTTTTGATTGCCACGATCTCTACAATCCCTAATTTGAATGGTGATGTGCCTCCCAAAGTTTCCTAATTCACGCTTGAACTTGATCGATTCATGGCTTTGGATCTCATCTTGGACCAAAACTTACAATCGGACCTAAAACCCACAATTTTGCCCCTTTAGTATTAAAAAAATGATAAAAAAATGCCCTCAACGAGAGGCATTACCACCCCAAGGGGGTTGGGGGGTGCGCAGGCCCTGGGCAGCCGCCTAGGCAGGTTCAGGCGGTCGCTTAGGTGGGCACCCAGGGATATCCGCCTAATTTGGCCGCCTAGGTGGCTGCCCAAGCACTAGGCAGTCCGCTTTTTAAATCACTATATGTAGCCCATGGCAGCTTTCCTTCACATCAACCAATCGAAGCACTTTTACTAAAGGGCAAGAAACATCTAATGCATAAGACACATGATCCCAAACATATGTACTAAGAATAATTTGCTCAATCTCTCTCCAATCTCGATGCTTTGACCAATTAATTTTATTCCATTGGTCTGAAGCAAACATGGTCCTTAAGTTA